AGAATTCATTGCTACTGTGCTCTCAGACGGTGGGACCTCCCAGAGCAGAATGCCATAGGAAATACCTAATACACCAGCCCAGGGCATGGTTCCATATAACCGTCAGATCCTTATATTTCTATCGCAGAATTTCCTGTGGTAAGCAAATCGCAGTTCCCAGGAAGCGACTAACCTAGATTCAGCAAAAGAATCATTTATTCAATCAGTAAGCGAGGGCAAAAGAGTTGTTACTAAGTAAAACAGGAGGCCCCCCGGCTACTGCCTCAGTCATTGGGGGCGAACCGCAGGGTGGTGTATGCGACCACGACATCCAGAGCCAGCCAGAGGCGAAAGGCAATCGGCCACAGCAGGATGTCTAGGGATAGAGCACGTACACCAGTTCATAGTCAATATTGCCGGACAGGGCAATCAGCCGCATACCGTAGCTGCGGTCCTGGAATGCATTGCGGGTCATTCCAAGGCAACTAGCCAGTAGCCCACGCACACTCCGATGATGAAGAGGGTGATCACCAGGGGCTGCTCGTAGGCATCGTGAGGAATCTGCAATCTCTCCGTCTCGGACATCGTGCCGAATATTCAAGTTTTGTCACTGTGGTTATCGCAGTTGGACATTGAGCTGGATCATCCGTATCTCGCGGCCCACTGGAACTCATCCCGATCCGGCCTTACTAGTACTACGCAAAAGCTGGGGAATTCCTAGCATCCTAAATATTAAAAATATGTAAATTGAATAAGCTTAATTACCTTATATTTTAAGTAAAAATATGGGCCGTATCTTATAGGCTTAGCCTAGGCCCTAGCATGGTTACAACGACATAGGAAATGATTTCGCCGTATGATAGACCCAAGGTTGCAAGATGTCGCATGGTTACATTGGTGCAGCTGCAGTACCAGATGCCTGGACCAATGCTAATAATCGTCAATACCGGAACAAAAGGCCATTTCCCTGTTTGCCATAGTTCAAGATAAGGTACAGGCCGCTGTCAGATGTCCCCTGGTCTGAGAAGGACGTGACCCATCGGTTGCCAGGTCGGATACTGCAGCCGGCCAGTAAAGAGAAGGGATTAGAATGTATAGAGATCTATCAGCCCTGTCTCACACCGCTGTAAAGGCAGTGCTTGGCTGGTGGACTCCTTGTAACCTCGGAACGCACTGGTAGCAACGTGGCGCAATGGACAGTATGCGTCACTCCTCATTACCGCTACAATTGATGCAATTTCGACATCCATCGCTCTTTCAGAGTAATACTCCATGCCTGGACTCTGACTGGGCCGGATGACGAGTAGACAAGTTGCTCAGCATCCACAAAAGCCATAGTCCAACTACAAGCACCGGGCCCAAGTACAGGATACTACGAGAGTTCAAGGGTATTAACTTTCCACCCACTTGCCGAATTCGTAAGGCCTACAGTCGTGGATCATTCGTTAAGTAAATAAGTTGGCAAGAAGTGCTATGGCTCCGCTGTTACTGCGCAAGTAGCGTATTTAGTGAACCATCGCATCTCAATATAGAACCCCGACTCCTGGTGACTTCGTCGGGTTGACGTTTCTCTATACAAATTAGTTTTTCGCAATGTTGCAAACGGAGGCGATTGCAACAGAAGGGCTACGAATTCGGGGTCAGGCCCCAGAGGATGCCTTGCTCCCTAGAGTCAAGCAAGCGCTCGAGCTCGCTGGGCTTCACAGCAGAGAGCAGATGCACTCTGACGGACACTGGTGCGGCGAAGTGAGAACCAACGCAACAACCACCGCAGAGCATGTCCTGCTGTGCCAGGCTCTCGGCATTGATGTTGACGTCGACAGAGAAGCATTCATCTCCTGGTTTCGTTCCATGCAGGGTGCTGACGGCGGTTGGAGTATCGTCCCCGACCATGCGGGTGATATCTCGGTGACAGTAGAGGCGTACCTTGCGTTGAAGATCCTGGGGGTCTCGGAGGACGATGCGGCAATGCGCAGCGCACGAGACTTTGTGATTACAGCGGGTGGTGTCGCGAGGGTCCGCATCTTTACCCGCATATACCTCGCCATGTTCGGCTTATTTCCTTGGGCTGCTGTACCGGAATTGCCTCCTGAGTTAATCCTGCTACCTTCAAGTGTACCGGTCAGTATCTATCACTGGTCAGCTTGGGCGCGGGCCACCGTGGTGCCTCTTCTGATCATCTCACACCATCGCCCAATCTATGCTCTTCCAGCTGGAAAGTCAACCTCTAGCAACTACCTGGATGAGCTGTGGTGCAACCCGAGGGATAAAATGGTACCATACAACCATGACCAACCGACGGCGTGGCGATCCGACCCGTTTATGTTGATCTTCACTTTGGCTGACTCGATCCTGCACCGTCTGAACGGGTTGAGATCTTTGAACCCCATTCGCCGCTTCGCACTTCGAAAGTGCGTCCACTGGATTCTGGAGCATCAAGAAGATACGGGAGACATTGGTGACATTATGCCGCCGCTCCACGGAGCTATCCTTGCCCTGAGCCTTGAAGCATACCCCCTGCAGTCGGACCCAATCCGCAGGGGCCTCGAAGCCATTGAACGCTTCGCATACCGTGACAAGCAAGGAAAAAGAATTCAAACCATTGTCTCTGCATGTTGGGACACCAGCTTAATGCTTATTGCTCTCGGCGACGCAGGCATGGCGTCCAGCCCGTGGCTGACAAGCTCGTTGGGATGGCTGCAGCAACATCAGAGATTGGGCAACTACGGTGACTGGAAGGTGAACAACCCTGCGTTAAAGCCCGGCGGGTTTAGTTTCGGGTATTTCAACACCTGGTACCCTGATGTGGATGATACGGCTTCCGCCGTTCTGGCAATGATTCGGCAGGACGAGCGGCTGGTTTGCTCTGCCTCCGTTTTGGGTGCCCTGCATTGGCTTCTCGGGATGCAGAATATGGACGGCGGCTGGGGTGCATTTGACCGCGATAATAATAACCTCTTTCTGAACAAGATCCCGTTCAGCGATATGGAGGGGTTGTGCGATCCCTCAACTCCGGACGTCAGCGGCCACGTCCTAGAGGCTTTTGGAGTTTTCCTAGCAGTCAGTGCACGGCAGGGATTGCAAAAAGCAAATGTCAGTGTCCTTAGGGACCGCCTTGCGTCGGCCTCTCGAAGAGCGATATGTTACTTGTCAGTCACGCAGGAACCATCAGGCGCCTGGTACGGACGCTGGGGCTGCAACTACATTTACGGAACGAGTGCTGTCCTCTGCGCATTGGCGTACTTCGGCTCAAAGAGCGACACGATGTCCAATGCCAGGAGTGTAAAAGATGCAGTCAACCAAGCAATCCGATGGCTGGAGACAGTTCAAAATCGAGACGGTGGCTGGGGCGAGACGGTCGATTCTTATAGAACTCCTTTGAGAGCCGCGTATGGCCCGTCAACGGCATCGCAGACTGCCTGGGCGCTTATGGCTCTACTGCCATACATGCCACCGTCCACAGGGGCAATCCAACGGGGAGTGGAGTACCTTTTGCAGACGCAGACGAGGACTGCTTCTCAGGGAGCTACCTGGCACGAGAAGACTTATACCGGCACTGGATTCCCGAAGCACTTCTACATAGGCTATTCGTTCTACTCTCACTACTTTCCCATGATGGCGCTCGGCCGGTACGCTTATCCATGCCCCGAGTGGCAGGAGAATTGGAGGCCGAAGAACGAGTAAACAGATCCTAGCTATAGCTTTAACTCTATCATTTTATCATCTCATCCTCAAGAGTATCTGGATCAGATAACCTAATTAAGGGGGATCCCGCTACTTTCAACACGACACTGTAGACTCAGTAATGCTGACTCGAGAGCGGTGGCCGTTCTATAATCACTTAAGCATCACTATTACGGTCATTCTCATCTGGTATTATGAACAGGTATTGCTGTAGCGTTGGAAACAAGCCAATCTACGATCTACGACTACAGCACCCACCCTCTCGCCTCTTTCATCCGCGCATACCACTCTTTGACATACGGAACCGACATATGCGGCCCGTAAGGCTCCAGCTCCCATTGCGGACTTGGCGCAGGAAGCCCAGTCTCCTTCAGGCAAGACTCGGTCAATTCCTCGATCGTGCCTCCTCGATCATACTGCTGGGCCTTGCCCACTGCATCCTGAGCAGCCATCATACTCGTCCTCAAGGCTCTGGTCTCGGCTTCACGCACGCTCAGATCATCCGGATTCACAACCACACCGTAATTATCGTAGGCGCCCTGGATGGTCACTAATCGGCGACGGACTTCTAGTGCCACCTTCTCTGCCGGTCGAGTCAATGGATCTCCGAGTCCACCGCCTCCCCATGTCACCCACTCGAGGAGGTCATCTGGGTCGACGCGGATGTGGTCGCATTTTGAGGGTAAGACTTCCGCCGGCGGGTTATCCTGGGACTTGGAGTATCTGTACAGGACCTTCCGGGAACGTGAACCCGGCTTGCCGCCTCGGATCCCCCAGGGCTTCGTGAACCAGCGGTCGTCGTGCAGACTGAACTCTCCTCGACACAGGAAGCGGTAGAGAGTGCGCTGTGCGTTGCCACCGCGGTAGAATCCCGGTCCACCGCTGTCCGGGACGCTCTCGTTGGCTTCGA